TGAAATGGATATCGGCTTCTAGGTGGTTGCCCGAGAATGGAGACACAGAGGTCCAGGAAGATGAGAGAGGTATCAGAGATGGTCCAGGTGAACTTAAGGTTGGGGTGGAAGGTGTTGGTGAAGTGGATGAACTGTTCGATCTTCTCGTGGGAGCACGAGGCGGCGCCGATACAGTCATCAATGTAACGGAGGAAGAGGTGGGGTTTAGGGCCAGCGTAGGTGCAGGAGAGGGATTGTTCCACGTAACCTACAAAGAGGCAGGCATAGCTTGGGCCCATGCGGGTACCCATGGCCACCCCCTTTGTCTGTAGGAAGTGGGAGGAATTGAAGGAGAAGTGGTTGAGGGTGAGGACGAGTTCGGCTAAGCGGATGAGGGTGTCAGTGGAGAGGGACTGGTCGGGCCTGTGGGACAGGAAGAAGCAGAGGGCCTTCAGGCCATCTGTATGGGGAATGCAGGTGTATAGGGACTGGACGTCCATGGTAAAGATGAGGTGTTGGGGACCAGGGAATTGGAAGTTCTGGAGGAGGTGGAGGGCGTGGGTGGTGTCACGGACGTAGGTAGGAAGTTCCTCGACCAAGGGGGAGAAAATGGAGTTGAGATAAGTTTGGTGGGGCAGGAGCAGGCGGAGACAATGGGTCGACCAGGGCAGTCAGGTTTGTGGATTTTGGGAAGGAGATAGAATCGGGCGGTGAGGGGTTGGAGATCGATGAGGTTGGAGGCCGTGGGTGGGAGGTCACCTGAGGTGATGAGGTTGTGGATGGTTTGGGAGATGATGGTTTGGTGCTCGGGGGTGGGGTCATGTTCAAGGGGGCGGTCGGAGGAGGTGTCGGAGAGTTGGCGTCTGGCCTCGGCGATGTAGAAGTCAGTGCGCCATACTACAACTGCGCCTCCCTTGTCCACGGGTTTTATGGTGAGGTTGGGATTGGAGCGGAGGGCTGCACGTTCTGCGGGGGAGAGGTTGGAGTGGGTGAGAAGGGTGGAGAGGTTGAGGCGATTGATGTCTCGACGGCAATTGGAGATGAAGAGGTCGAGGGAGGGTAGGAGGCCTTGGGGTGGTGTCCAGGAGGAGGGGGTGTGTTGGAGGTGGGAGAAGGGGTCAGTAGAGGGAGGGTTAGGCTCACGGTTGAAGAAGTAAGCGTGGAGGCGGAGGCGGCGGAAAAACTACTCAATGTCCAAATGTGACCGGTATTCGTTGATGTGTGGGTGGAGCTGGACAAAGGTGAGCCCTTTTCCTCTCCACCTATCTTCTCCTCTATCCATCTTCTATCCGCCTACCCCTCTGTCCCTATTTATTTCAGAACCCCCTTCCCCTCCCCCAATTCTGATGAAGGGTCTATTAACTTTGTTTCTCTCTTCACAGGTGCTGTCAAACCTGCTGAGTTTCTTCAGCACTTTGTTTTTATTTCAAATTTCCAACATCCAACATCTTTGTTTTATTTCACCAGCGCTGGCTATTTGACTGACTGACTTTTTTTTTGCTGAGTCTTCGATGTATTATAGAGTCTCCCACTATTAATGGAGTATGGTGGTGTAGTGGCTACGTTACTAAATTAGTAACCTGATCATCGCGACAGTCAGCCCCACAAGGGTTGAGCTAGAATTTGAATTTGATTTTAAAAATCTGGAAATAACAGCTAACTTCAGTAACACTGACTATAAATCTATCACATTGTTAAAAACACACAACTGATTCCATAGTTCTTTGGGGAAGATGATGAAGGGATGCGTACTGGAGTTTAAAAATAGGAGCTGTGATCGCCTTTTATTTCCTATCGATCATAGGATCACTTTTCTCATAGAAAACAGACATTTGGACAGAGTTTGACAGGGTAAACACAGAGATCCTCTTCCGTCTGGAGATCTTAAAATACCATGGCACAACGTCAGGATAAGGGGGGCAATCATTTAGGACGGATATGAGGAAACCTCTGAAAGGGATGGGAAATTTTGGAATTCTCGACCTGGAAGGTTGTGGAATTGCCATCGTTGGCTGGGATGGACAGAATGCCGGTCTCTCCGTGAATCAGGATGTGGACAGGAAAGGAGAGTTAAAGCCCAAAATCAGCCACGATTGTATCAAATGGTGAAGCAGTCTCAATGAGCCGAATGGCTACTTCCTGCTCCTGTTATAGAAACTTCGAAAATAAGTGCAGGTGTAAGCCATTCGGCCCTTCGAGCCTGCACTACCATTCAATGCAATCATGGCTGATCATGTAATCTCAGTATCCCACTACCGCCCTCTCTCCATACCCCTTGATCCCTTTACCTGCAAGGGCCATATCCAGCTTCCTCTTGAATATACCTAATGAACTGGCCCAACAGTGGTCCCAACAGTTTGTGGGAGAGAATTCTGCAGGTTCTCAACCATGAGTGAAGAAATTCTTTCTTCTCTCAGTCCTGAAAGGCTTACTCCTTATTCTTAGACTGTGACCTCTTGTTCTGGACTTCCCCAACAGCAGGAACATTCTTCTGTCCAGAAGAACTGTCCAGTCCCATCAGGATTTTATGTTTCTGAGATCCTTCCTCATTCTTCCAAATTCCAGTGAATACAAGCCAGTCGATCCTGTCTTTCTTCACATGTCAGTCCTGCCATCCCAGGAATCAGTCTGGTGAACCTTCACGGGACTCCCTCATTAGCAAGAATGTCCTTCCTGAAACTAGGAGACCAAAACTGCACACAGTACTCAAGGTGTGGCCTCACCAAGGCTCTGTATAACTGCAGCAAGGCGTCCCTACTCCTACACTGACATGTCACTATGAAGACCAGCATGCCATTAGCTTTCCTCACTGCCTGCTGCACCTGTATGCCAACCTTCAGTGGCTGTTCCACCATGACAGCCAGGTCTCGTTGCGCTTCACCTTTTCCTAAACTGCCACCATTCAGATAATAATCTGCCTTCCTGTTTTTGCGACCAAAGTGGATAACCTCACATTTATCCACATTATATTGCATTTGCCAAGTATTTGTCCTCTCAGCCAGTCTGTCCAAGTCACGCTGCAGCCTCTTAGCACCCTCCTCACAGCACACACTGTCACCCAACTTAGTGTCATCTGCAAATTTGGAGATATTGTATTCAATTTCTTTACCCAAATCATTAATGTCTTGTCTTCTTGAAAGACCAGCTGCCCTTGGCAGCATGGTGGCTCACTGGATAGCACTGCTGCCTCACAGCGCCGGGGACCTGGGCTCAATTCCACCCTCGGGCGACTGGCTGTGTGGAGTTTGCACATTCTCCCCGTGTCAGCATGGGTTTCCTCCGGGTGCTTCGGTGTCCTCCCACAGTCCAAAGATGTGCAGGTTAGGTGGATTGGCCAAGCTAAATTGCCCATAGTGTTCATGGGTATGTAGATTAGGTGGGTTAGCCATGGGAAATGCAGTGTTGCAGTAATAGGGTACGGGATGGGTCTGGGTGGGATGCTCTTCAGAAGGTCACTGTGGACTTGATGGGCTAAATGACCTGCTTCCACACCATGTAGGGATTCTGTGATTACCCTGGATGTACTATGTGTGGCACAGTGGTTAATTCTTATATCACCTTCACATTGGCTTTGTGAGCCACTCAGCTGTGTTAAAGCGGGGTTAGGATGGATTGGTTCAAGACCACCACCAGCTCCTCGAGGCAGCTAGAGACTGAGCATTAAGTCAACCTGCAAGTCCCACATCCTAAGAATGGATAAAACCCTCCAGTTATCAGATGTGATTGGTGACTTTGGTTTGTGACTCACGGGGCTACACGACGCATTTGATGGTGTAATAAATGCCTTTAATTAGCAGTTTACATTGCAGCGAACATCTGTGAGAATTTAAATTGTCAGTTGCCAGATTCTGCATGTGTTTTCAGGATTGAAACATCTGTAAGCCATTTGAGAGTGGTCAGGATTCTGGGCAGAATATTCTGAAAATAGACACTGAGAGCGATGCTTTAATCCTCAGTGAGAAAACAGTGAACCCATAAAACCGCAGTCCGCACCTCGCATTCTTACTTGGAACAGACTTGTGTGCAAGTTCCTCACAAACAGGTCTTGTTCAGTCCCTCTCCATTCTTCCCTGTTTTTCATTTCTTCCTTTCTTAATATTCAATCCATCTTTTTGTCAATTGTAGAATCACACAGCAGAAAGGCTTTTGGCTCATCTCTGTTAAAAAACTATCCCCTTTTTCCTGTTTCTCTGCCTTTTTATTCATGACCTTCTGATGTATTCTTTTTCCATAACTCCATCAAAAGGTGCAGAAGAGGAAAAAGACAAATGGCCAAAGATTTACATCTTGCACTCATCAAATTTCAAGCGATCGCGACAATTTAAAACTGTGGAGTAGTAATTTAAGTGAGACAAGCAGAATAAGAATGGGTTGTTTCGAGAGCAAAGGTTGGACAGGCTGGTCTTGGAGTTTTAGGAGTGTGGGAGACGACTTTATTGAAACGTACAAAATCCTGAGCGGTCTTGACAAAGTGCAAGTGGAAAGAGTGTTTCCTCCTGTGGGAGAGAGCCCAAAGCTAGGAGTCACTGTTTAATAATAAGGGGTCACCTATTTATGAACAGGATAAGGAGAATGCTTTTCTCATGGAGGGTCATGAATTTATGGAACTGTCTTCCTCAAAAGGCAGTGGAAGCTCAGCCATAAAAATGTTTTTTTTAATGCAGAGGTGCATCGATTCTGGATAAGCACAGGGATGAAAAGGTATTGAGGGTGTAATTAGATCAGCAACAATCTTATTGAATAGCACAGCAGGCTCAAGGGGCTCAGAGGTAGTAAGAACTGCCGATGCTGGAGTCAGAGATAACAAGGTGTGGTGCTGGATGAACACAGCAGGCCAAGCAGCATCAGAGGAGCAGGAAAGCTGACGTTTCGGGTCAGGACCCTTCTTCAGAAAATAGGCTTAAGGGGCTGTCTGACCTACTCCTGCTCCTAGGTTTGTAGGCATGAGACCCACTGTCCAACCTCTCTCCGGGTGAAGATGTAGGCCATGTGAGTTGAATTAACCCCTCTGTGTTCCACAGGTGACCTGGTTTCTCGGGCGATGCATCACCTGCAGCCGTTGAAGTGGACCCAGTGTGGGAACGGAACGCCAGTCCACCATAAACAGGGACCACTGCACTGGGAGTCCGAGGCACTGTATACCCTCTGCTACTTCATGCACTGTCCACAGATGGAATGGGAAAACCCGAATGTGGAGCCGTCCAAAGTCAGCCTCACTACAGAGAGGTATCGTGAACGGGACAACACCCAGCTCCTTTACTTTTCTAACACCATTAACTTCCACATCATTCACAACAGCCAGCAAGTAGCTGATCTCACTCTCTCGCTCAAATCCACTCCACCCTCCTGGTTTGTCGCCATTAAGATTAATCTCTTACTGAGCCCAGAATATCTCTGGGGGTTTGGCAGATGAAGTTTTCTGATCACTTTCCAGTTCCTATTGGGGGTTTGGAAGAGGGGTGTCTCTAGCAGAGTGCAGGAATTGAATCAGTGCAAAGAGGTGAGATTGAGAGACCGCTGCTGCACCTTTCTGAATGCCGTGAATTCAGCTTCCTCACTCTCAGTTTTTTGTCCTGATTCTGTCCAAAACATGTAATGAGTAACGTGGTTAGGCACAGCTTGGAATTGAGATTATTTCTTGTCTGGGAGCGTGTTTCTGAATGGTAGCATCGTCCGTTTAATTTAAACTGAGTCAGCTACTGCAATGGGAAGTTAAATTTTCACCCAGCTTTTGAAGTGCCAATGAATTTGAAAGTGATTGGATGACTCAGGGTAGAAAATGCATCCTGAAAAACAGACAACACGGCGTTCTGAATTCACCATCCCTTCCTGTCTTTTAACCATCTGTGAGCTTGGTGGATCCCCAATTGCTGCTCCAACTCAAAACCCTGTCAGTCCAGGGGGAAGTGGTGGCGTAGTGTCAATGTCATTGGACTAGTAATCATTCTGGGGACAAGGGTTTGAATCCCACCATGGCAGATGGGGAAATTTAATTAAAATCTGAACGAATGATGACCATGTAACCATTATCAATTGTCATTAAAATAAAAACCTATGTGATTTACTCATGTCCTTTTTTGGGGAAGGAAATCTGCTGACCTTTCCCATGTCTGGCCTACATGTAACTCCAGACCTGCAGCAATGGAGTTGACTCTTAATTATGTAATTAGGGATGGGCAGCGGGATGATTTGCCTACATCCCATGAAACGATTGATTTTTTTTTAAAAGGTCTCGCTGCAGAGACTGGAGTAGGTCACCAGTGTTTGTACTGAAGTAGGGCTACACTGACACAAGTGCCATCTTCCTGGTGAGATGTGAAGCAGAGGCCCCATCTGCCCTAGCCCATGAGTTTGTTTGAAGAAGAGCAGGACGTTCTCCTTATCCTGAGCCCGACATCTCTCTCCAAAGCAAGAACTGGTTAACCGGCCAGTTTTCTGTTTGCTGCATCTTCCGTCTGTACAGCTGAGTAGACTTGAAAGGTTCCTCATTGGACTTGATCTACAGGATGATCCAGACAATTGAGGTTTTATAAAGTCATGAGGGGCATGGATAAGGTGAATGACAAGGGTCTCTTTCTTAGGGTGGGAGAGTTCAAAACTAGGGGGGGGTCATATTTTTAAGGTGAGAGGAGATAGAATTAAAAAGGATGTTAGGGGCAACCTTTTTATTCACAGGGTGGTTTGCCAGAGATAGTGGTGGATATGGGTAGAGTTACAATGTTTGGATAAGTACATGAGTAGGAAGGGTTTGGTGGGATATGGGCCAAGTACAGGCAGGTGGGACTACTTTAGTTTGGGAACATGGTTGGCGTGGATTAGTTAGACCAAAGGGTCTGTTCCCACGCTGCATGACAGTGATTTTTGAACTCGGTCAGAATATATGGGTGATATGTTTGAGTGAAGTTTGGGGCAGTAAGGCTGTGCTGTCATCTACAGGCCGTTCCTGGTACTGCCGCCTTTGATGGAGTGGATCCGAGTGGCTGTAGCCCATGCTGAACACCGCAGAAGTTTTTCCATCGACAGTGATGATGTGCGACAAGCTGCCCGCCTCTTGCTTCCTGGAGTTGATTGTGAACCTCGCCAGCTAAAGTATGACTGTAACTCCAAACTCAACTGACAATGGGCACTCAAAAAACACCACATGGGCCGGACCGAACCCTATAGCACTGAAAGGTTAATGGGGATAGGAGCGTGACTCCCTAACTCCTTCCCTTCCAGTCTCCTGTTTGACTGTAGGGACTCAGTCCACATAGATTTAAGATGAGAGGGGAAAGATTTAAAAGGGACCGAATGGGCAACATTTTCACGCAGAGGGTGGTGCATGTGTGGAGCGAGCTGCCAGAGGAAGTGGTGGAGGCTGGTACAATTACAACATTTAAAGGCGTCTGGATGGATATATGAATAGGAAGGGTTTAGAGGGATCTGGCCCAAATGTTGGCAAATGGGACTACATGAATTTGGGATGCCTGGTCGGCATGGATGAGTTGGACCGAAGGGTCTATTTCCATGCTGTACAGCGCTATGACTCTATGTCCTTTCACATCCTCCCAGTTGTTCTCAGCCACTGCTCTTCATCGGCTGTTGGTCAGGGAGGTGAACAGGGCTGAGAGATCCGCGTGGAGGCTGTTAAACGGAATCTGCAGACAGGAGGACTCTACTGGCACAGTGGTAATGCCCCTACTCTGGACCAGAAGCTTCATGTTCAAGTCTTACCTGCCCCAGAAGTGTGTTAAAAGTAGTGGCAGGGAAAATCAGGAGAAGCAGCACAGGAGTTAGAGGGAGAGAGAAAAGGGGAGAAAGCATTATAGGAGGAACTGTAACAAAGCTGAGAGAGGCAACGTAAAAGAATGGAAGGAAAAAGAACAAGTATTCTCTCTAATGGAATACTTGGTTGAAGCTGGTAAGATTGCAATTCTTGACTAATTTATTGAAGCCTGTGGGAATCATGTGCAGGAAAGATGCAGAGGGATTTCATTGGCATTACTGCCTGTCTGTAACCAATTTGCACATTCTTGGAATATTTGCATGGAATGTCATGACACACTGTGGTGAGATTTGAACAGATGATTTCTGGGCTCAACAAGACAGACATGATGCCCCACTTGTACCCCTCATGATCTAACTTCTCTCTCTCTGTCTCTCTCTCTCTCTGTCTCTGTCTCTCTCTCTCTCTCTCTCTCTGTCTCTCTCTCTCTCACTGTCACACAGAGCTGATGATTGCTTCTCTGCCTCCCTGAAACTCGACGCAGCAGCGACTGAGGCCAAGTTTCACCAAGGCCTGGGATTCCGCATGTTGAACTGTGGCAGGACAGACCTGGTCAATCAAGCCATTAACCTTCTGGGACCTGATGGCATCAACACCAGGAGTGAGCAGGTACAGCAGTGGGCTGTGAGCTGAAGCATGTCGGAGGAGAAGTCAGTTATTGTGCATTAAATTGGTTGAAAAATATAAATGGCTGGCAATTCTGTGCCATTTTCCTCTGGCATTCATTTAACATCCCCAAATAGAGTCATACAGCATGGAAACAGACTCTTCGATCCAACCTGTCCTTGCTGAACATAATCTCAAACTGAACTAGTCCCACCTGCCTGCCCCGGCCCATATCCCTCCAAACCTTCCATATTCATATACTTTTAAACATTGCAATTGTACCCACATCTACCACTTCCTCAGGAAGTTCATTCCACGCACTAAACACCCTTTGTGTAAAAGTTGTCCCTCATGTCTTCTTTAAATCTCTTTCCTCTCTCCTTAAAAATGTGACTTTCTGATGTCTGATTTAATGTAATGAATTAGCTATGTTTCCAATATTCACGTGCAATTATTGTTGCAATGCGAATAAAACTGTTTCTGTGGGTTATTTCCTGGGAATATTTTGTTGAAGAATCAGTGACATGAATTACCTATTTTTGCAAATATTGCTGTTGTGTCCAGTTCGGCTGCTGGCATGTTTTTTACAAGCACCTTTCCGTTTTGATAGGAATTTTGAAACTCACAAGTACTGTACCAGTTATTTCAGACACTTTTAACTACAGGTAGCATGGAGCATCTCATAAGGCAGTTAGCATTTATCTTCTGTTAAATTAATCAATGCAGGTCTAACTGTTGCATTATTTGTGAATACGGACTTTTTAAACATGCAGGGTCTGAGTCCACTGATGTATGCCTGTGCTCGGGGAGACGAGGCCATGGTCCAGATGTTACTTGATGCCGGGGCAGATGTAAACTGTGAGGTAACGAAAACGATCGAGGCCGCAGGAGCAAGTCTCGCGTTTATATAGAGCCTTTTCCTGACCATCTGGTGTCACTGGATTTACAGTACTTTTGAAGTGTAGTTCGTGCTGTAATGTGGAAAATGCATCAACAAATTTTGTGCATAGCAAGCTCCCACATGCAGCAGCCTGATATCCAGGTAACCTGTTATTGTGATGTTGAATAAGGGTTATTCATTGGCCCGGACATCAGGGCAAACACACCTAAATTTCAAAATACTCACATGGAGTGTAATCTTTTACACTCACCTGAATGAGCAGACAAGTTCTCAGGATAAGGGGTTATCTGAAAAGAAAGTACCTCCAACTGTGCAGTACTCCTTCAGCACTGCCCACTCATTGACAATGCTCCCGTGAAGTGTGTTGGAGACATTTTACTGTATTAACAGATCTATTTAACTAGAGTTTGTTATTTTATCAATAAGTTTAGCATAAAGAAAGGAGGTCCTCCAAAATGTCAAAATATTCTGCACCTAAATATTCTGTCAATAGCAAGTATGTGATTTGTTAGGGGTCTGTGTTAGTTTCCATCTGTTGGACCAGATGTCTTTATGGATTAATTGTCAGGCTATTATTTAAGGTGCACATGGATGTACCAGCCATTCCTTCTGATCTGCTGTGTAATCATGGTGCTTTCTGATTGCATTCATTGAATATATGTGCTGGTTTTGCCACTTGTTTACACCATTGACATGAACGGAATTTTGCTGTCAGAGAATGTCAGTGTAGGTGAAGACCATTTTGCCAAAGCTGGTTCTTAAAGAAAATCTTGCATTTATATGGCACCTTTCACAATCATTGAACATCTCCAAGCACTTTACAGCCAATAAGTGTTTTTGAACTGTATATCACTTCTCTCATGGGCATGCAAGGTTATCCAATTCCCTTTTGAGTGTTACCACTGAGTCTGCTATGCACAGGGTCTTACTGTGTACCCATTGGTTATCACATTTGTCCAACAAACAAAACTTCAAAATAATTCATTTGGTGAAGTACCTTGTGGTATACAGAGGCTGTTAGAATTCAAATTCTTTCCTTCGTCTTTTCCTTTTTGCTGTTCTCTGTAAACTTCAGCGCTGATTGTAAAATACATGTCAATGATGTTTTCATGCTATTAGCAGTTATCAACTATAATTGAAATCTTTCTGTATTTTTGTCGTTTTGGTGTATTTGTGTGTCTGTGTGTCTGTTGAACAGCATGTGCACACACTGTGATGTAAAGTATTTGCTTTATTTTAAATATAATTTTTCTTTAGAGGTTGGAATTTGAACTAGTGCTATGTGGGTTTTGGTCTGCGTGTTTGAAAAAGTTTAATGATTGATTTTGTCAGTATTTTTGTAGCATAGTGATTTAATTGAAAAGCAAAACATTCTTCAAGAGCTCGTTCTCTCTTAGACTAAAAAAAACCTATAGAATGCTGGAGAAATTCAGCAAATCTGGCAACGTCTGTGGGAGAGAAACAGAGAGAACATTTTGATATTGCACTCAAAACATTACCTCTGTTTCTCTCCCCATAAAAGGTGCCAGACCAGGTGAATTTCTCTAGCATTCTCAGAGTTTGTTTCAGATTTCTAGCATCTATTGTTTTTGGCTTTTATTTGAGTTATTCGAGGTTGATAGGAATCTGCTCTCATCAGGAGAGTTTACAAGGGAACAAAGTAAACAGTTGTGTATTAGGCTTTTGGTTTAGACGGTCAGAGATTGATTTTCTTTTAATCAGGGGAAACATCTATAACTTCGAAAAAAGCTCCTGGGTTTCATTTTGGCAGCTTTGCAGAAATGTTACCTGAACCTGAATGTGTGAAACAGTTTACAACGGTTGATAATTACTTTACCTCAGTGAAAGCAGTTTAGCTTTAAACTTCCAGGTCAGAAGTGTTTGGTTAAAATCCTGAAGAGATATTTTGATGCTAAGAAAATCCAAGCTCAGTTGTATGAAGAATTGACGAAGAAGACATCAGATTCTCAAGACCAGGGAACTGAAACCACAGCTGAGTCAAACCCTGTCTGTGATAGAATGGGAAATCTTTCTGGGTGTTTGAGTACTGTAAAAATGTGCTGTTTAGATTAATTGGACTATAATTTACCTTGTGTTTCTAAATCTTTAAACATGTGCCATATTTAAATAGAGAGAGCACAAACTGCAGATGCTGGAGTCAGAGACAACACAGTATGGAGCTGGAGGAACACAGCAGGCCAGGCAGCATCAGAGGAACAGGAAAGCTGACGTTTCGGGTTGGGACCCTTCTTCAGAAAAGGGGAGGGAGAAGGGAGCTGGGAAATAAATAGAGAGAGGAGGGGTGGGGCTGGGGAAGGTAGGTGGGAAGGTGATAGGTGAGTGCAGGTAGGGGGTGGTGGGGATTGGTCAGTGGAATAGTGGGGCAGATAGGTGGGAGATAAGATGGACAAGTTTTGTCAGGGCAAGGAGGTGGGGATGAGAGGGAGGGTTGGACATGGGATGAGGCAAGGGATGGGGAGATTTTAAAACTGGTGATTTCCATGTTTAGGCCATTGGGCTGTAGGCTCCGGAGGCAGAATATGAGGTGATGCTCCTCCAGTTTGTGGGTGGTGTCATTGTGACACTGGAGGAGGCCCAGGATGGACATGTCACCTAGGTAGTGGGAGGGGGAGTTAAAATGGTTCGCGACCAGAAGGTGTTGTCGTTTGTCGTGTACATTTTAAATATTCAAGTAATTTGGTTTACTATATTTCATCTTCATTTCTTCTGTGTAATAAACTTGTATTTGTGTTTGTGTTTCGGTGAAAGACCATTTTGTTAAAACCAGAAAAAAACAAAATATTATCCAACAAGCCAGGTCTCAGTCTGGGATCTGACTTGTCCAGTTGTAAAACCAACTGGGATTATAGCACCACATTGCAGTGTGTATACACTTGCTTGGAGCACGTGTGCATACATCGGTGAGAGTTGTGTGTTGGAGCATGTGTGCATTGGTACGCATGTGTGCGATTTCCTGTGCGCAAAAGTCTGTTGGACTGTGCATGTATGTTGGTGTGTGTAAACTCTGTCTGACTTGATAACCTGTTCTCTGTGCTGCAGGTTCCCAGCCCAACTCACAAATATCCGTCTATCCCTGTGGAGACACGACACTGGACTGCCCTGACACTGGCTGTGCTCCATGGCCACATTGCTGTAGTTCAGGTAATCCATGTCCATCATCAAGCGCCACTTTTTTATCTACGCAGGAATATCAGTGGTCAGGAATTAAATCAGGCAGAAAGGGCCTGACTTTATTTAACCTCCTGTGGTCTGTGTCATGGAATATTCTCTGATGGTCAGTGCAGGCTGTGAATTGTGAAATAAACGTAGAAGATCTGAAAATGTCTTTCCATTGCAGCAAGACATAGTCGGGTACAGGAAAGATTTTCAACATTTGTACACCTTGATTTCAGGTTTTCTTGCACAATCTTACTTTGTTTAACGGATGTGGTATGGTCACTACCTAACCTTTTTGCTTTTGTTCATTCATGGGTTCGCATTTATTGCCCATCCGTAATTGCTCCTTATTCTGAGTTGCTTGCTCAGGCCATTTCAGAGTCAACCACATTGCTGTGGGTCTGGAGTCACATGTAGGCCAGACTAGCTAAGGATGGCAGTTTCCTTCCCTAAAGGGCATTAGTGACCCAGATGGGTTTTTACAACAATCGATAGTGGCTGTACGGTGGCCATTAGGCTAGCTTTTAATTCCATATTATTTTTGATTCAAATTTCCCCATCAGCCAAGTGGGATTTTAAACCATGTCCCCAGACCATTAGCTTGGGGTTCAGGATTATTAATCTAGAGAAAATACCACAGGCCATCACTTTCCTGATCAGCTGTAACAATATTTAAACTTTCTTTCACTCTTCTCCTTTTAAATCATGCGGGTAAATTTCCCTTTCCTGGCACTGCAGATCAGACTAAACGCTCCAACTGATTCCCCACACGCTGTCTCACTCAGTGACAGGCTTTGCAGTCTGAGTACAGAGTCTATGTTGGTTGTGTAGATACCTTACCAACAGTTTGAACAGGACCTGCTTTTGCAAACTGGGTTCAAGATGAGATGATTTAGTGCTCGAGGCTGGTTTACAGAAGGTTTTCCTGAATAACCTCTCACACAGGGACCTGGGACAGGATTCAGCCTCAGCTGATTGGGGGAAGTGAGGAGTCACTGTGCAGTCTGGGTGTTGTCATTGCAAGTCAGGCCTCATTCTGTAGAGCTTTGGGAAAGAACCTACTCTGACACCAGACTGACATGTTCTGACCTTCAGAGGAGGGTAATATTGTAAACTTTCCATTCCTTAGGGCATTGAGAGGGAGCTACTTGTAGGGAAAACTGGATATTTTGATTCCTCTGTACTCCTTTCTTTTAGCAGCTGCCTCTTCCCCCGTGCTCCTGAAATCCCACCCTGCTCTGGTGCCTGACCAACCCTAATAGCCCCTTCACTGCTCCTGAAAGCCCCTCCCAACTTCTCATTCTACCTTCTGCTTTTCAACCCCTCCACCCCTCTTTCCCTACCACTGACAACCCCTTCAAGAATCAAAGAATTGTTGCAGGATAAAGGAGGCCATTTGGCCCATTGTGTCTGCACTGGCTATCGCAATCAGTTGGCGCTGTTCTCTTGCTTTCTCCCCATAACCCTGCACACTTATCCTTTACCATTAACTATCTCAGTTCCTTTTGAAAGCCTCAATTAAGCTTGCCTGTTCCACACACTCAGGCAGTGCATTTCAGACCCAAGCCATCTGCTGCATGACAAAGTTTTTCCTCCAAACATTTTGGCTTCTTTTACGATTTACTTTTAAATACACACCATCTCGCTCTCCAGTGGGAATGTTTACTTCTACATGCTTCTGTGATTTTTGAATACTTCAGTCAGGAGTGTGATGGAATACTCCACACTCGCCTGGATGGGTGCAGCCCCAACACTCAAGACGCTTGACACCATCCAGGACAAAGCAGCCTGCTTGATTGACACCGCGTCCAATCCTTCCATCACCAATGCTTAGTAGCAGTAGTGTTCTCTGTCTACGAGAGGCACTGTAGAATTTCATCAAAGATCCTTAGACAAACCCCTGACCACTTCCATCCAGAAGGACAAGGGCAGCAGATACAACAGAGCAACGTCACCTGCAAGTTCCCCTCCAAGCCATTCACCATCCTGACTTGGAAATGTATCACCGTTCCTTCGCTGTCATTGGGACAAACTCCTGGAATGCCCTCCCTGAGGGCATTGTGGGTCTATCTACAGCAGGTGGATTACAGCGGTTCAAGAAGGCAGCTCACCACCACCTTCTCAAGGGCAACTAGGGACGGGCAATAAATGGTGGCCCAGCCAGCAATGCCCATGTCCCACATGTGAATGGGGAAAAGAAAACTCTTCCCAACCTTTTCCAAGGGGAATGATTCCAACTTCTCCAACCAATATTGACATTGGTAGTGGTTCATTCCTGGAACCATTCTGCTAAACTACCTCTACACTCTTTCCAATGTTGTCATATCCTTCCGCGAGAGACTGACTACCAGATGCATGATAACTATATCTGTACATTATTACAGGTGGAATTGAACATAAAAAGGCCCTCGCTGTCTGTGTTAAAAATGCAGGAGTCTTGAAGGTTCGACCAGAAATATTTTCTAATCAATCTGTTCAGTGTTGTTATTGGAATTTGAACCCAAGGCCTTTCGGTCCAGGCGTAGGGACACTACTACTGCCCCACAAGAGGGGCCAATCTAAAGTAAAGTTGTCATAGTCTTACCAAATCATAGGTGTGCTCTCTAATTTAGAGACAGAGAGAAATGACTGGTGGTATTTTAATCTGAGGGTCGCCATGACTCGAGCGAGGGGAGAAGTTGAGAAGGAGAGTTCTTCATGCTAACCTCAGCCAGTGTGGGAATTGAACCCACACTGTTAGCATCACTCCACATCACAAACTAGCTGTCCAGGGTCAACCTTTTTTTTTAAACTTTAACCTATTTTTCTAATCCACCCGTTCAGAGATGTGATTACACAACTCTGGAGTAGGTGGGATTTGAACTCGGGACTCCCCGTTGAGGGGTTTTCACAGTGTTAACAGTTCTCTCCTCCTCTTCTCCTGCAGTTGCTGCTCGATGCTGGTGCGAATGTCGAAGGGTCTGTCGGACAAGGGGGTGAGAATTACTCTGAGACCCCCTTGCAACTGGCAGCTGCAGCTGGTGAGTGGGTCGGGAATACTGTATGTGTTTGAGCGTTCCGTCAGTACCATGTTCCTCCAAATCCACTGCTCCAGAACTCAAATGGTGGGGACACGTTTGTCAAAGAATCCATTCGGATTTTGCCGAGAGGATGATTCCCTGGCGGGAGACACCAGAAGTTGGGGGCGGGGTGGGGCACAATTGGAAAAATAAGATGTCTTCCCGTTTAAAATGGAGAGGAGGAGAAATTCTTTCAGAGACTTGAGTTTTTGGAGTTCTTCTCCCCTGCCCACAGAGTGGTGGAGGTAGGTTACTGAATATTTTAAAGACGGGAGTAAATAAATTCTTGACTGATAATGGAGTCCAATAGTATTGGCGGGATGGGGTGCTGTTAGGCAGGAAAGTGAATTTGAAGCCACCAGCAGATCAGCCATGAGTTTCTTGAATGACAGAACAGGCTTGAGGGCTGAATAGCCTTGTCCTGCTTCTACTTTAGATCTTTGTAATCTCGATTCCGAGCTTTTATCTTCAGAAGCCTCATTGCCAGAGTTACGGAAGAGCGTTGATTCCTCGGATTCAGACCCTAACTGCTAGCTTGCGTGATGATGTTTTTCTACTTTTGTCTACTTTCCACAGAACACCTGTTGTTAGATGTGATTCCGCATTTGGTCGGAATGTGCTAATAGCTGCACAAACAACCAATTTTAGATAACCAGTCAAATGTGTAACAGAGCTTTGCTAAAAGCAGCATACAATCATACGTTGAAACGTTGTTCTTTCTTTTCTCTATTCATTTGTGGGGTGAGAGTGTTGCTGGCTGGCCAGCATTTATTGCCCATCCCTAGTTGCCCTCGAGAAGGTGGTGGTGAGCTGCCTTCTTGAACAGTTGCAGTCCATGTGCTGTAGGTTGATCCACAATGCCATTAGGGAGGGAATTCCAGAAAATTGACCCAGAGATAGCGACGGAACGGTGACATATTTCCAAGTCAGGATGGTGAGTGATTTGGAGGGGAACTTGAAGGTGTTGGTGTTCCCATATATCTGCTGCCCTTGTCCTTCTCGATGGAAGTGGTCGTGGGTTTGGGAGGTGCTGTCTGAGGATCTTTGAATTTCTGCAATGCATCTTGTAGATAGTACACATTACTGCTACTGAGCATCGGTAGTGGAGGGATGGATGCATGTGGATGTAGTGCCATTCAAGTGGGCTACTTTGTCCTGGACAGTATCAAGCTTCTTGAGTGTTGTTGGAGCTGCACTCATCCAGGCAAGTGGGGAGTATTCCATCACACTCCCGACTTGTGCCTTGTAGATGGTGGACAGGCTTTGGGGAGTTGGGAGGTGAGTGACTCGCTGCAGTATTTCTAGCTGCTGACCTGCTTTTGTAGCTGCTGTGTTTATGTAGTGAGTCCAGTTGAGTTTCTGGTCAATGGTAACCCCCCAGGATGTTGATAGTGGGGGATTCAGTGATGGTAACACTATTGAATGTCAAGGGGTGGTAGTTAGATTGTCTCTTATTGGTGATGGTCATAGTCTGGTATTTGTGTGGCTCGAATGTTACTTGCTACTTGTCAGCCCAAGCCTGGATATTGTCCAGATCTTGTTGCATTTGAACATGGACTGCTTCAGTATCTGAGGCGTCACGAATGGTGCTGAACATTGCGCAATCATCAGTGAGCATCTCCATCTCTGACCTTATGATGGAGGGAAGGTCATTGATGAAGCAGCTGAAGATTATTGGGCCTAGGACACTACCCTGAGGAACTCCTGCAGAGATGTCCTGGAGCTGATATGATTGACTCCCATTGATTCCAGTATTGCTATGACTCCTTGATGCCACATTCAGTCGAATGCAGCCTTGATATCAAGGGCTGTCACTCTCACCTCACCTCTGGAATTCAGCTCTTTTGTCCATGTTTGAACCAAGGCTATAATGAGATCAGGAGCTGAGTGGCCCTGGCAGAACCCAAACTGGGTGTCACTGAGCAGGTGCTGTTTGATAGCACTGTTGACGACACCTTCCATCACTTTACTGATGATTGAGAGTAGACTGATGGGGTTTTAATTGGCTGGGTTGGATTTGTCCTACTTTTCCACATTGCTGGGTAGATACCGGTGTTGCAACTGTACTGGAACAGCTTGGTTAGGGGAGCAGCAAGTTCTGGAGCACAAGTCTATGGAAGAGCAATCCAAAGACTTAGGAACTGCTTAGATTAAAAAAAAACTGCCTCATCTCTGTATCAAGGGGGAGACATCTTATTCATAAAGTGTTCCCTTTTGTCCTGTATTCCCCATGAGAATAAACTTGCATCAACCCTTCAAAGCCCCCTCAAAATCTTAAATGTTTCAACTCATGTGTATCGATCGGCTGTAGCCTGTTGCTGGTTTAAGTCATGTTCCCAATGCTTCTCGTTTTTGCTTATTCGCATTGTTGCGTTTTTCTTTTTGCCTGTCTTTCTTTCGTTCTCTCTCTCTCCTCTGTATTGGAGTGTCACACTGTCAGAGGCTCGGGACTGAGGGAGTGCTGCTGTGTCTGAGGGGCTAGTTAAATGCAAAGTTTCTTTTTTATCTTTTTTTTTCCTGGGAACAGGCAGTCTGCAGTGCTAGATTACCCATCACACATACTGGTTTATATTGAAACTGTCAGACTGTAATCTTTAACTGAGCACAGCTTTGTTCTGACAGGACAAATGTGTTGGGGTTGCAGGTAATTTTGATCTCGTGAGTTTACTCCTGGAGAGGGGAGCAGAGCCGATAATTGGGACGACGTGTCGGAATGGCTTCTCTGTCACTCCACATGGTGACATGAGTGCATACAGCCAGGCTGCTGCTCACGGCCACAGGTAACTTGGGGGTTGGGGTTCGGGTC